GATCAAGTCCACCATTTTTTTAAAGATCCTCTCATCATCTTAAATTGAGTTTTTTTTGTGAACGTACAATTATTTGTGTTAGATCTTCTAGAGTCTTTTCACATTGAAACTTCCTAAAATTGTGTGCAGATTGGGGAGAAAGCAGAGTTCCTCAACCGATCTGCCCTGAAAAGGTAAGACTCATACAATGAATGTGTCGTACAGTGGTAGCGTCCAGATGAGGAAACCAGCTCTTTAACGATCACCGTGTCATTTCTTACTGTAGCACTGCACCCAGAGCCGCTCATTCCCCGATTGTCTCCAGGATTGGGAACAGAATGGAACAGTACACGTCCGCCATTCAGGTACTTTTCATTAACCATTCACCCTGACTAATACTTCTGCTGCCAAAATTAGCTCTTAATCTGTCAGTCCTTTATATATATTTTTTTAATCCATTTTGCTATTATTTCCACTTAACCTAATTCCTCTTTTCCACTTTCACCCAAGGCGTGCTTTGTCTCTTTCCATTTATATAATGTTTTATCCCTCTCAGAGGGCGGCAGTGAGGTCACAATGCATACTCAATTAGAGTTTTAAATAACTCTGCAGGGAAACAAAGAGCCCAAATCGCCCAAATCTCCAGCGGCAGACATTCCTACGGGAGGCACACGCAGCATCAAGAGCATGTGGGAGAAGGGAAACGTCGGCAACACCGCCGAGAGTCCAGCTCCTGCTCACAAGGTGAACAGCCGTGGAGACCCAATCAGATCCCACAGGTACAGGGGTGTGACGCAGTATTTGACATCTCGCTCTTCTCAGGACGCGGTTGGTGCCAAAGCAGGCGTAGCAGGACGTGTCAACAGCTGGATGGCAAAGCCAGCAGCAGAACCAGAGAAGGCTTCACCAGCACCTGCAGCTGCTCCTGCTCCGACACCAGCAGCACCAGCAGCAGCAGCAGCAGCAGCAAAGTCTGCAGTAAGTCCTGGGGAATCCACCACTTTACACCACTTTACTACACACAGCACTGTGAACGAGGCTCGCCCCCCTGACAGTAATCCCTTGCTATTCTGCGCTCGCTAATGTTCTCCCTGCACAGCCCCCCTGAAGTGGACAGTTTAGTCTGTCTGTAGTGGAGTACCACCACATGGACACTTTCTGTAACAGCACCCAGAGGATTTAACAGACATTTTATCAGGTGCCGCGTTGAGTTGGACAATTCTTGCCCCGATTAATGGGACAAATAAGTATCTATCTATCTATCTCTCTCTCTCTCTATCTATCTATCTATCTATCTACCTATCTCTCTCTCT